TAGCCACTTAAATCTATCTACATTTTTATATAGAAACAGACAGCGCCCGTGCTTGAGCCTCATTATTTCAAGATGACATAATATTGAAAAGCGAACAATAAAATTGTACAGTTTCCAAAATAAGTCAGAGCTCATTGTATCTTGATAACAGGTTTGGCAAACAATATATCAAAATCTATAAGAACACCTCCACATTTGTACTATTGGTATTGGTGGTGACAACAGAAGTTGCAATAGTAGGTTAGAGGAGTTGGAGCTCCACACTTATGAATGTTTAGTGGTGGCATTCTTTTTTTTTTTTTTTTACTATGTTCGAAAATATGATGCAATCACATACTTTTTGCTTGCTTCATATTTTTCTGTGAAACTGGGCGGGAAAAACACTACTTATACAATCTATTATGAAAACTCGACAAAGGTTCTGGAATCAGTGTGTGTAAACGCAATTGATACAATGTGTAATGAATTTATATCTTAACATCCAACAATATTATCCAACAATATACCCCATATGCGTACTTAACTGGGGACAAATGTTCAAAACATGTTGATCCAGTCAGATCCTTTGTCATAAATAAGTTATATTCTAAAACAAACTTGCCTTTATTCATTTGTATGCTACACCAGCATTTTGATGATGCCATCTATACGCATATATCTTATATTGCCTCATACACTCCAGGTTTGCTAAAGATGCTAACAAAGCTGTTGTGAGTTGTTCGGTCGGCTTAGCATTAGCATTAGCATTAAGCTAAGGGTGTCACAGAGCTTTACTATGTCCCAGACACAGCTGTACACCTACTGTTGTTTGCAGAAATCAAGTGGGAATGTAGAAACTGTTGCCCACTGCTTTGTTGCCATCAGTTTAACTTTATTCTTTTTTAGCATTTCTCATCGTTTTTATTTTTCCCTGCCTTCCCACACATGCATTCCTGCACCATATCACCACGGCGTTTCCTTCTCCTTTTTCACTCCAGTATTAAAATCTCCACCTCCTCCCCTCTCCCCTCCTCTTGGCTTGTGTCTGAGTGGAAATCAAAGTGCATTAAACATTAAATATGCTGTCAAGAAGCAGAAGTCTCTCCATGCTGCTGATGATGGAGAAAGTAGGGCAGTGAGGGAAGAGGTATAGATGGAGAGGAGAGAGCAGGGGGAAGGAGGAGGAGCAGAAAGGACACAGATATGAGAGGATGGACCATGGAGGAGAAGGACAGACTGAGGAAGAGCCACTGAAGGGAATGGTGCCGTGAGACATAAGACACACATTCGCCTTTACGGTTTTACTGTAGTAAACATCTGAAATGCTGCTTCTGCTGAGAGACAAGTGTAAAAAGAATCAGCGAACACTGCTAGCTCAGTGGCTCAGGATAAACCAAATATGATTGGGAGTTGTAACCTCCTCTCTCCTCTGAGTTGGTCGACGGCCGCCTTAATAACGTGATCTGTTGTGCTGTCATAGCCGCCGTCCGAGTCGTAGTGAGTAAAGCCGTGTGACCACAGAGAGGAGTTGACTCAGCTGAAAGCTAAAAGCAGGCCCTCCATGTTACTCACACGCCTCTCTGTGTGTGCCTCCTGTTACTATGCAGACTAACCAGGCAGAGGAGTCCCCCTCAGCCACAGGCCACACGCTCAGAAGTCCGCCTTCAAAGTCAAATTTGCTCTCACGGAGCACCCGGCTGGAAACTGCTGTTGTTATGGAGGTAAAAAATGTTTCTGCTAAAGACCAAAATGTCCACACTTACATTTCTGAAATCCACACTACTTGTGTAGTGGTGCTTAGTCTCTGTTTGGTGTGTGGTGCTACTAATTCTGACGTATAACCCCACATCTTACTGTGAGTCCTCCTGAGTTTAACCAATGAGAATTGTCAATGGCCTAAATTATGATAATGAAATTAAAATGACTTTAGAGCTTGCTTTTTGCAGACTGCCACACTAACATGAGGCCCACTAAACATACTGAGTATACTGTTTTAACAAATACTTCATAAACCATAATGTTTATTTCCTTAATGACTGCCTTTTATTTGTTTGTTTGTTTGCTTGTTGTTTTGCTCGTGCTGCTACAAACTGCTGACTGAACTGAACTGAGAGCAGTGAACTCTCCTGGAACAGCATAATCAGAGAAAAATGGCAACCAAAAGCTTCAAAAGCTGTTTAGCTGGCTGATAATTCTCTCTGAATTCATCAGCTTGAAGTGCCCCCATGCTTGACACATTCT